AAATAATGCTTTTTTTCACTCAAAAACGGAGGTACGCAAGCTCGGATTAATAAGGCCTACGATTTATCAGTTCAAAAAATAAATATAAAACCTGTCCTAATTGAAAGAAAACAAGTTGACAAAAAGATTGAATCCAATATTTGGTGATAAGGTAGCATAATGAGAGATTTATAAGCAATCATCTGTAGGCCAGTCATTTTTGACCAGGAACACCACAAGTGTTACAATGTGGAAAAACCCCACAAAAAAATTAAAAAAATTATCAACATTTTTGGGGGAAGTTGTTAGACTCTGTGTCACAGTGTCTGGTTTATGTTCCTTGGGTCACCACTAGATGTCCTCCTTCCCCACGGTGTCCATCACACTCTTGAACTACATCCCCCATGATCCTTGTCTTTTCATTGCACTCAGCTGTCTCTTATCACTAATTATTGCACTCAGCCTGTTCCCCATTAGCATTGTCATTTCCCTGTGTATATAACCCTGTCTGTTTCAGTATGTGTCACGGAGTCCTTGTATTTATCACGCCACTTCTGTGTTCCTGTTTATGTTCTTGTTTTGGATGGATTATGATATCGACTATTGCCTGGACTGGATTTTGAGTAACGGATTTCCATTATTAAACATACTTTCTGCAATTGGATCTTCTCCTGTGTTTCCTGGTGTGGTTCGTGACAGAAGGACTCCGTCACACACAGATCCAGCGGTATGTGTTCCAACTTCTCCTCCCCAGCCACTGAGCGGGAGAGGAGAGATATGTTTGAGGGAACCCGTCTAGTCATTTTTCGTGGGACCCGGGGAGGTCGCAGAGGAGTTGGTGGTCGAGAGGGAGTCCAACACCACTCTCCACCATGGCCCCCCTTCGACTCTGGGAGGGTGAGGGACGAATTGGAGCCACCGTCTCACCGTCGCAGACGGAGAGGGGGTAAGAGACGCACGACTGCTGAGCTAGAGACTGTTCACGTCACGTCTGCCCAGCGAGAGACTGTTCACGTCACGTCTGCCCAGCCAGAGACTGTTCACGTCACGTCTGCCCAGCCAGAGAGTGTTCACGTCACGTCTGCCCAGTCAGATACTGTTCAGGCCACGTCTGCCCAGCCTGAGACTATTCACATCCCGTCTGCCCAGTCAGAGACTGTTCTTGTCACGTCTGCTCAGTCAGAGACTGTTCATGTGATGCCCATTTGTGTGGCCGCCAAGGGTATACTGGACTTTTTGGAGCAATTGACTCGAATCCCGGACATGCCTGTGTCTGCTGCTCCAGAGCCGGAGCCAGGGTCCGCTGTTCCAGAGCCGGAGCCAGTGTCTGCTGTTCCCGAACCAGAGCCAGTGTCAATACCCGTTCCGGAGCTGGAGCCGGAGCCAGTGGCTGTTCATGAGTCGGAGCCAGTGTTTGTTCATGTTCCGTCTGGCCAGCCAGACACGGTTCATGTCCCATCGGGCCAGTCTGAGACAGATCTAGAGATGCCCATTTTTGGGACCACCAAAGCAATGAGGGCCTATTTGGAGCGTCTGGCTCGGAGCCTGGACAAGCTGGTGTCTGCTGTTCGAGAGCCGGAGCCAGGGCCTGCTGTTCGAGAGCCGGAGCCAGTGCCTGCTGTTCGAGAGCCGGAGCCAGTGCCTGCTGTTCGAGAGCCGGAGCCAGTGCCTGCTGTTCGAGAGCCGAAGCCAGTGCCTGCTGTTCGAGAGCCGGAGCCAGTGCCTGCTGTTCGAGAGCCGGAGCCAGTGCCTGCTGTTCGAGAGCCGGAGCCAGTGCCTGCTGTTCGAGAGCCGGAGCCAGTGCCTGCTGTTCGAGAGCCGGAGCCAGTGCCTGCTGTTCGGGAGCCGGAGCCAGTGCCTGCTGTTCGGGAGCCGGAGCCAGTGCCTTCTGTTCGAGAGCCGGAGCCAGTGCCTTCTGTTCGAGAGCCGGAGCCAGTGCCTTCTGTTCGAGAGCCGGAGCCAGTGCCTTCTGTTCGAGAGCCGGAGCCAGTGCCTGCTGTTCGAGAGCCGGAGCCAGTGCCTGCTGTTCGAGAGCCGGAGCCAGTGCCTGCTGTTCGAGAGCCGGAGCCAGTGCCTGCTGTTCGAGAGCCGGAGCCAGTGCCTGCTGTTCGAGAGCCGGAGCCAGTGCCTGCTGTTCGAGAGCCGGAGCCAGTGCCTGCTGTTCGGGAGCCGGAGCCAGTGCCTGCTGTTCGAGAGCCGGAGCCAGTGCCTGCTGTTCGAGAGCCGGAGCCAATGCCTGCTGTTCGAGAGCCGGAGCCAGTGCCTGCTGTTCGGGAGCCGGAGCCAGTGCCTTCTGTTCGAGAGCCGGAGCCAGTGCCTGCTGTTCCAGAGCCGGAGCCAGTGCCGTCTGTTCCAGAGCCTCTGCTATGGCCGCCCGAGGGGTCTTCACCGCCCTGGCCGCCCGAGGGGTCTTCTTCGCCCTGGTCGTCCAAAGGACCTGTCCCGTCCCGGCCGCCTGCACTGCCTGATTCGCCCTGGCCGCCAGATGGACTGTCGTTTCCACCCTGGCCGTCTGAAGGGTATTCACCGCCCTGGCCGCCCGAGAGAAATTCTCCGCCCTGGCCGCCCGAGGGAAATTCTCCGCCCTGGCCGCCCGAGGGAAATTCTCCGCCCTGGCCGCCCGAGGGAAATTCTCCGCCCTGGCCGCCCGAGGGAAAGTCTCCGCCCTGGCCGCCCGAGGGAAAGTCTCCGCCCTGGCCGCCCGAGGGAAAGTCTCCGCCCTGGCCGCCCGAGGGAAAGTCTCCGCCCTGGCCGCCCGAGGGAAAGTCTCCGCCCTGGCCGCCCGAGGGAAAGTCTCCGCCCTGGCCGCCCGAGGGAAAGTCTCCGCCCTGGCCGCCCGAGGGAAAGTCTCCGCCCTGGCCGCCCGAGGGAAAGTCTCCGCCCTGGCCGCCCGAGGGAAAGTCTCCGCCCTGGCCGCCCGAGGGAAAGTCTCCGCCCTGGCCGCCCGAGGGAAAGTCTCCGCCCTGGCCGCCCGAGGGAAAGTCTCCGCCCTGGCCGCCCGAGGGAAAGTCTCCGTCCTGGCCGCCCGAGGGAAAGTCGTCTCCGCCCTGGCCGCCAGATGAACTGTCACTCCCTGTCCCCGTTTCTCTCCATGGACCTGGCCCCCCATCCCTCCCCCTGATCCTCCACCAGTCCACCTCCCGCCTGGACACTTGTTTGTCTGTCACGTCTTGGAGCGTCTGGTAGCCGCTCCGTAGAGGGGGGGTTATGTCACAGTGTCTGGTTTATGTTCCTTGGGTCACCACTAGATGTCCTCCTTCCCCACGGTGTCCATCACACTCTTGAACTACATCCCCCATGATCCTTGTCTTTTCATTGCACTCAGCTGTCTCTTATCACTAATTATTGCACTCAGCCTGTTCCCCATTAGCATTGTCATTTCCCTGTGTATATAACCCTGTCTGTTTCAGTATGTGTCACGGAGTCCTTGTATTTATCACGCCACTTCTGTGTTCCTGTTTATGTTCTTGTTTTGGATGGATTATGATATCGACTATTGCCTGGACTGGATTTTGAGTAACGGATTTCCATTATTAAACATACTTTCTGCAATTGGATCTTCTCCTGTGTTTCCTGGTGTGGTTCGTGACACTCTGGGTGAGTAAAGTCAGTAAATTTTAGTCCAATGCTATAACATTAACTAGCATTTTCGGGTACGGGAAAATCCTCTCCGGGCCAAAATGACCCGAACAAAGCATAAGTAGAAAAATGCCAGTTGATGTGTTCCAGCTGAGGCTGTTGGCTCCAAGGTGCCTGCAATTCAACACCAGTCCTACCTTTCTGAATTCTATCCATCATAAACAACAAAACTGGTCTCAGATCAGTAGAACAGGTATATTAACTTTGGCCCTGAACTAAAACACATACTAAACAAAGAATGTGAGCCAACTGAGAAACAAACACAGGGGACATGCTTAAATAAATGTGTTGTAAATGGAGAAACAACTAACTGTCTAGCAAAAGATACTTGGACTTGGTTTATCAAGCTACAGAATAAAAATTGTAAAGCAATTACACAGCTCATTATGATATAATATTCTCCTTATTTTGCCAAGAGCGATTTAACAAACTCAAACGTTATAATTTTTTTTTTTAAAAACACACACACACACACACAAAAAAACATACACATTGAAAACCATCAGTGCCTTAGAAAACACCTGACCTAAAGAATCTAGGTCAGGTTGTGAATTAACAATGGTCTACACACACTGGCAACATTCTTATTTCATAAATCTCAGAGCAAAGATGATAATTATCTTATTTCATAAATCTCAGAGCAAAGATGATAATTATCTTCTTTAGTTCTATAAAATAATGTTGACCCTGTCTGAACAATACCTGTGAGTAAAGTCGACATAAAAATCCTTGTGAAATGTTCTTTACTGTACCACTACTCTAAAACTATTTAGCTAAATGTACTACTGTATTGGTCATTACTTTCCCTGACTTAAGGACCCTGTCTGAACAATACCTGTGAGTAAAGTCGACATAAAAATCCTTGTGAAATGTTCTTTACTGTACCACTACTCTAAAACTATTTAGCTAAATGTACTGCTGTATTGGTCATTACTTTTCATTGTACTCAACCCGAAAATGCTAACATGCACTGCATATCACTACTCAGACAAAAGGCAGGTTTATTTTTTAACTTTGTAGTGACTGAATTTGAATATTCCAGTCAATGATCTATATACAATTTGAGCAAAAGTCGCTCCTATCAGCGTACCGCCACTGTATCTGTAAGGAAATATAGCCTTGAATTTTATTCAGTTCACATCAATGGTGTTGCTATATTACCAGTACCAGTGAGTGCTTACTTATAAAAGCACTGGGCACACAAGAAGGATCAAAGAGAGTGGAACAATAATCATGGGACGAGCAGAAAGAAATGTCTGTTTTAGATTTTCCGAAATGAACAAAGCGTCCTGTTAGGAGAATTTGAAAGATACTTGATTCATAAGTTGTTTTGGATTCATTTCACATTTCACATTTCAACAACGTTTCTCACCTTCACTCAACTACATAACATCCACAAAGAACTCGCTGGGCTTGCCCATAGCCAGATGGAAGGACTGCCTGGATGCAGTGAGCTCAGGAGGAACGGATCCCAGATCCCTGGTAGGAGGAGCTCCAGGAGGGCCACCAGGTGTAAAAGTGTGCGGCAAAGATGGAAGAGGTGGAGTTGGGAGGGTGGGTATAGGGCCGCCCATGGCCGGATGGGGGTGGGGGTGCTGTGGCAACATCATGACCATCATGGGATTATATGAGATTGGGATCCCAGGGGGATACGGAGCCAGGTGAGAGGGCGAAACTCTGTGATGGGACCGCTGGCTCAGACTGAGGCTGTGCTCACTTGGTGTGGTGGAACCATTGTCTCTTGTCCGGCTACTGCGAATAGAGTATTCCGATTCACTGCCGCTGCCAGAGCGGGAGTCGGCACCACCTCCTCCTACAGGGGATTTTTCATCTCGTCCACTGGTGCTCCCACCTCCTTTACTGCCGCGTCTTCGCTCACCCTCACTTTGTGTTGAACCACTGCTACGACTTCCTGCGAGAGAGAGAAAGAAACAAATGAAAAGTTGTGTGTATATTCAAGACTGAAAAGGAACATGGAAATAATTTTGACTCATTCATTGACAGTTTTTAAGAATATATTGATTCTAAATATATTATTATATATTATATAATATACAAGATTATAATAACAACGTATTAATTCCAGATATTCTGAGTGAATGAAGTTAATCCTTTGCTCTCTCTCACCTTCACTGTGTTGACTGCCAGCACTTCCTGGTGCATAGATATAGCTGGAGAGCTCATGGTATGGAGGGGGTTGGCTGGGGTAAGTTTGTGGGTATTGATAAGGAAAAGTGTGCATCAGGGGCCAGGGTGTGGCCCCTGGCAAAGGCAAGGGTGCCAGTGTGTCCTGGTCTGAAGCTCCACTGGAACCATCATTGTCATTTAGCGAGAGATTTGCCATATCTGTGGGGAAAGGCAGAGGCGGACAGAGAGAAACAGAGGAAAAATCTATTAACATAAGACAGACCTGCCTACCATGTGAAAATATTTTGAGTGCCACAGGGATGACGTCAAAATCCAGAAGACTAATTCTCATGGGGTTTTATACACTAATGTTTTTTTTCAAATGAGTGAAGTGAAGTGACATGAAGGCTAAGTATGGCAACCCAAACTTGTAATTTGTCCTCTGCATTTAACCCATCCATGTTAGTGGACACACATTAGGAGCAGTAGTGAACAAACACCATGGACACACACACACCCGGAGCACTGGGCAGCAATTCACTGCGGCGCCCGGGGAGTTGGGGAGTAATTGGGGGTTAGGTGCATTGATCAAGGGCACCTCAGTCATATAAAACAAAGTATTTTACTTTATTTTTTAATTGAAAAAAAAACAAAAAAACATTATAAAACCCCATGGGAAAATCTCAAGGAAACCAGTGTCAAATTAGTCTTCAAGGCAGTGGCGTAGCTAGATTTTTAAAATGACGGGGCCACAATGTTTATACAATTTTCATTACTTACTATCGTGGACTCGCTAATTAACATTAACACTATAAATTACTATAAATTAATTTGTTTGAGGTGCACCATAAAGCTTACAAGATAAAATGTTGGCAATACGCATGTAACTCTCCATCATTTATATATTTGCCAAACGATGGAAATTTTCATCAAATTTGCCATTTACGAAGGGTTTCGGGTAAGCGGATCTACAGCAGCTTTGGCGCCTATGCTCTGTTATTTTGTATTGTTATCCTTCTCCCACGTTCTCATTGGTTTGCTGGCATATGGGGGATTTCATGCGCAGGGAAAGCTGTCCGCTGATCACACGCCCAAGTGGAAAAATGTGCTGTTGCTGCCAGATTTCGATCAACGAAAATCCCATTGTATTTGATACAAAACTAACTAAACTAAACCAAGTGAAAAAAAGAAGTCATAACTATTTTCATAGTACTTAATTTTACGAATACTAAATTATTTTTTTACGAAAATGTATAAACTGTTAAAGACAGATCTACTGTAACTATATGAGGCTGTTAATCAATCGTATATGTATTTGTTAAAGTCATCAATTTGCATTATCTTATTATTATGGTTTTATTATTATGGTTTTATCATGGATTTATTTCAGTTAGCCAAATAGCTGGTTTGATTTGCATTGAGAGATGATCTTATGGAAAGTACCCCATTCCAATCTCTAGGTATGGTGAAGGGTATGTGATGATGTGGGGCTATTTTAATTCCAAAGGCCAAGGGAACTTTATCAGGATGCATAGTATCCTGGATCCATGAAATAACTGGCCTTTAAAAATAAAAATCTGCCTGCCTCTATGGGAATTTAACATAGGGGTGTCCTGACTTATGCACCCTGTATTTTAATTTTTGATACATTATTCATTCACAAAGAAAATTGGTGTCCTTAAAGGTTGGAGTTTTCCTCATTTTTTTTATTAAGCCATTAAGATCAATTTCCAAAAGATGATTTTTTTATTCCTTTTTTTAGTCAACTTTAGCATGGGTGTGTTCACTTATGCCAGGGGTAGGCAAGTTCTGTCCTAGAGAGCCGCTGTCCTGCAGAGTTTATCTCCAACACTGAAAAAAAAAACCTTTCCTGCGTATAGCCTTAGTAATCCTGAAGACATTGATTAGCTTGTTCAGGTGTGTTTGATTAGGGTTGGAACTAAATTCTGCAGGACAGCGGCTCTCTAGGACCGAACATGCCTACCCCTGACTTATGCTAAGCACTGTATATATATACAGGTCCTTCTCAAAAAATTAGCATATTGTGATAAAGTTAATTATTTTCCATAATGTAATGATAAAAATTAAACTTTCATATATTTTAGATTCATTGCACACCAACTGAAATATTTCAGGTCTTTTATTGTTTTAATACTGATGATTTTGGCATACAGCTCATGAAAACCCAAAATTCCTGTCTAAAAAAATTAGCATATTTCATCCGACCAATAAAAGAAGTGTTTTTAATACAAAAAAAAAAGTCAACCTTCAAATAATTATGTTCAGTTATGCACTCAATAGTCAATACTTGGTCGGGAATCCTTTTGCAGAAATGACTGCTTCAATGCGGCGTGGCATGGAGGCAATCAGCCTGTGGCACTGCTGAGGTGTTATGGAGGCCCAGGATGCTTCGATAGCGTCCTTAAGCTCATCCAGAGTGTTGGGTCTTGCGTCTCTCAACTTTCTCTTCACAATATCCCACAGATTCTCTATGGGGTTCAGGTCAGGAGAGTTGGCAGGCCAATTGAGCACAGTAATACCATGGTCAGTAAACCATTTACCAGTGGTTTTGGCACTGTGAGCAGGTGCCAGGTCGTGCTGAAAAATGAAATCTTCATCTCCATAAAGCTTTTCAGCAGATGGAAGCATGAAGTGCTCCAAAATCTCCTGATAGCTAGCTGCATTGACCCTGCCCTTGATTAACTCTCTGGGGTCGGCGGTCTCGCCGGCGATACCAGCTCACTTTTTTCCTTATCAGTGCAAAAGAGACTCAAATTACTCTGTTCATTTTGATCTTACATATAAGTGTTGTACATCATTCGATCCTGTTAAGTTTGTATTTTTTTTTGTGGAACCTCATAATAAAAACAAAGTGTTGTGCTTTTCGCCTAATAAAGAAAAATAAACATGATGCGCGTTCTGCGTTCTCTCTGTCAGTGAAGTCCATTCTGAAACGCGTCCGAAAAATCAACTGTAACTCTGCAAATACTCAGTCAAACAGGTACACAGGCACACAGGCATGAAGCCTGAATTGTCTTCTTTTAAATGAAGTAATTTATATAAAAAAATGTTTTTCTCATTTTATGTAATCTGTACGAAAAGAGAGAGATGATAGTCGTTCTCGTCTCAGCTCATTAAAGTACATTTGACCACGCCCACGGAGCGCGCGCTCTATTCAAACACAAATGCTCTGAGGCGATCCACGCCCACACCAGCTGGATAACCACCGAAAGAGACTCAGATTTACGACGCTGTGAGGAATAATAGTACTATCTTAATAATAATCCTGGAAAAAATTACCTCAGAAGTAGGCTACAGGTAGTTTCATTTGGAGGAGCAACGGATCCAGCCGAGGAAATAGGTACATTCTTTATTTTCAAGTGCTTTGTGCTAATCGCGATATGGAATAGTGTCTGTAAACAAAAAGACTGTTTGAATCGCGTTTTTGTGTGTGAATGAATGAACAGCTTTTACCTAACTATATTCCAATACTGAGATGAGTAAAAATCGACTGAAATATGTTGAAATAAAATATTTTTGTATAAGCAACGTATTAAACTGCAAATTAACATTTATATGTCCTAATCATAAAAACGATATGTTACATATGAAAGACAAGATGTCGTTTTTACTGTAAAATACTGCCACATCAAATAAGCTTGTTTGCTAAGATGTTATTATAGTGTTTGTTCGATTGTAAGCTATATTCAAACTAATTAATCCGCAACTGTGAAATATGTATGATAAAATGTATACTTTAGTATATAATACAAAGAAAGATTACATTTGAAATATAGTTACATTTTAATTGTTGTTGTAATTGTAACCTTTTTATTAAAATAGCAAAACTATATGTACATATAAATAAATCTTAGGTAAATCTTAAAAGCTCAATATAAGCCTCCTCTTTAAATTATTTGTATTGTGTTTTATTAGTGACACATTTGGGATACATTCCCAAACTTTCTGTAAAAACAGTATGATAATTAACTACACAATTACTATAAATTTTTACATTTGATATTATACAATTTGCAAGCACAATTTGAAAGATAAATAAATAATTGGAACTGTGAACCAATTTTGTATTATATAGGCATATATATATATATATATATATATATATATATATATATATATATATATTGTCATTGCATTGCATTCTTGTGGCTCAGTGACACACCTGAATGAAAGGGTCATTAGTATGCAGCCCCATTATGCGCTCATTATGCGGGCCCATTGTCTTCTCAGGTGTGAATCACAGCAGGTCACACCCCTGCGCATATTGCCTTTCCAAACAAAAAGTGTCATTTTTAAATTTAAACCAATCTATTGTTTAATGTGAATGATAAGGCAGGATGATTTTCAGATCATTTTGAAGAAAAAACTCTAGGCCACAACACCCATTAGTCAAAAGTCTTGTGGACAGATATTTAGTATGTGTTTTGTGGCCTTATTTCAGAAACTTTAAGTTTTAGTTTTTTCAATAACCACGCATAAACAATATTCTCTCAAAAATACAAAAATGTACATACATGTTGATAACACATTATGGTAGCCCTGTGTGTGCTAAATAGAGTGTAATTACACCTTTGCCAGTAATATGTTTATAAGCAACTGAAAAAAGCACAAATGTCAGAGTATGTCAAAACATCTCAAGGACCCCAAAAACACCTTGGACCCCAGAGGGTTAAACACAGTGCACCAACACCAGCAGCTGACATGGCACCCCAGACCATCACTGACTGTGGGTACTTGACACTGGACTTCAGGCATTTTGGCATTTCCTTCTCCCCAGTCTTCCTCCAGACTCTGGCACCTTGATTTCCGAATGACATGCAAAACTGAGCAACAGTCCAGTGCTGCTTCTCTGTAGCCCAGGTCAGGCACTTCTGCCGCTGTTTCTGGTTCAAAAGTGGCTTGACCTGGGGAATGCGGCACCTTTAGCCCATTTCCTGCACACGCCTGTGCACGGTGGCTCTGGATGTTTCTACTCCAGACTCAGTCCACTGCTTCCGCAGGTCCCCCAAGGTCTGGAATCGGTCCTTCTCCACAATCTTCCTCAGGGTCCGGTCACCTCTTCTCGTTGTGCAGCGTTTTTTGCCACACTTTATCCTTCCCACAGACTTCCCACTGAGGTGCCTTGATACAGCACTATGGGAACAGCCTATTTGTTCAGAAATTTCTTTCTGTCTTACCCTCTTGCTTGAGGGTGTCAATGATAGCCTTCTGGACAGCAGTCAGGTCGGCAGTCTTACCCATGATTGTGGTTTTGAGTAATGAAACAGGCTGGGAGTTTTTAAAAGCCTCAGGAATCTTTTGCAGGTGTTTAGAGTTAATTAGTTGATTCAGATGATTAGGTTAATAGCTCTTTAGAGACCCTTTTCATGATATGCTAATTTTTTGAGACAGGAATTTTGGGTTTTCATGAGCTGTATGCCAAAATCATCAGTATTAAAACAATAAAAGACCTGAAATATTTCAGTTGGTGTGCAATGAATCTAAAATATATGAAAGTTTAATTTTTATCATTACATTATGGAAAATAATGAACTTTATCACAATATGCTAATTTTTTGAGAAGGACCTGTATATATATATATATATATATATATATATATATATATACACACACACACACACTGTACTGAATATATACATATATATATATATATATATATATATATATATATGGAAAATAAGAGTATTGGTATTGGACTCATTCTGGAAAAAGTGGTATTGATACTTCTATTTTAATTTTTTTTTTAAATATTGGGCAAAGCAACAAAAAGAATATGAATCAAATGAATTGGCTTAGCAAATAGATATTTTCTTCAGTTATTTTCATGCCTAATTATGACAGTTAAAATGTATTGTAGGAGCTACTGTTACTTTCATTGTTCATATAATTTATCTATCATATTTTATCTTTTATTTAACAGCACAGTGAATATTTAGAGCTCCTCCAGCAGGGTTCGACAAGTCAAGAGCAGCGAGTGATTTTCTTTTGTTGTTAGATTAACATTGAGTACAAAGACAGCAGTAGGTTTATTAGGCTGCTGCCACTTTAAGAGCTGCACATATCCAACATACTGTTACACACGCGTTGTCTTTTCAACTGTTTACGTTCACTAAAGACATAACCAACTATTTTAACAAGGATACTTGTACAAATTTTGTGTGAATTTGTCCGTTCAAGCATGCAAGAAGAGATGAAAGAGAACTTGATTATTCGCGCACTGTCTGAGGCAGCTCTGTGGGCACGTGGTTCGGATGTTTGCGTACAGAAAATTATAAATCTGGGGGGGGGGTGGGGGGGGGGGTAAAACAATACAATCATATATTCTGGAAGCAAACTTATTAGGGGTGAAAAAGGTGAGAAAGATTCCCCCAAGGGATAAACGTTTTTTAAAATATCCGCTTTACAATGGATGCACATAAAATTTTATCATGAGGACATTTGAGGAAAACTTTTTTTCTTCTTCTCTACTTAAGTTGTCTTAAAGGTCCCCTGACATGGGGTTATTTTATTTTATTTTATAATGTTTCCTGGGTTGCCCTTATAATGTTAGTATGTTTTTTAGATAAAAAATAGTCATAATTTAGAAATAAAAGGCATTTTTCCTAGCCTGATTTTAGCCTCTGATGAAGATGAAGATGAACAAAGATGAAGTTCTCAAGGTGAACGCATACCTTGACGCTAGGGGTCTAACAACTAAAAATCAAGTCAGGAATCTTGGTGTGTCTCTAGAGTCAGACCTTAGTTTCAGTAGTCATGTCAAAGCAATAACTAAATCAGCATACTATCATCTGAAAAATATTGCAAGAATTAGATGCTTTGTTTCCAGTCAAGACTTAGAGAAACTTGTCCATGCTTTCATCACCAGCAGGGTGGATTATTGTAATGGACTCCTCACTGGCCTTCCTAAAAAGACCATAAGACAGTTGCAGCTCATACAGAACGCTGCTGCCAGGATTCTGAGCAGGACCAGAAGATATGAACATATCACACCAGTCCTCAGGTCTCTACACTGGCTCCCAGTTACATTTAGGATTGATTTTAAAGTATTATTACTGGTATATAAATCACTCAATGGCCTAGGACCTCAATATATTGCAGATATGCTCACTGAATATAAACCTAACAGATCACTCAGATCACTAGGATCACATCAGCTAGAAATACCAAGGGTTCACTCTAAGCAAGGAGAGTCTGCTTTTAGCTATTATGCCAGCCGCAGCTGGAACCAGCTTCCAGAAGAGATCAGATGTGCTCCTACAGTAGTCACATTCAAATCCAGACTCAAAACACATCTGTTTAGCTATGCATTTACTGAATGAGCACTGTGCCAATGTTCGTCCGACTGTTTTTACTGTACTTTATTTTATTTTTTATTCTAAACTGTTTTAATTATTCTTATTTGTTTTGATTATTTTAATTTCTTCTATGTAAAGCACTTTGAATTACCATTGTGTATGAAATGTGCTATATAAATAAACTTGCCTTGCCTTGCCTTGCCTCTGATTTGAACGCTCTGTTTGAAGGGGCGTGTCTGCTGTGGGATTCAGTGTAACCAGCCACTGCTGTGACTGGCTAACATGCTTGCATATGAAATAGCTACATATTACAAGTGAAACTCTCTCGAATACTTTTACTACAGCTATTATACGTTTTTACTATTACAGCTATCGAGATTAACGAATCGTGAGAAGTTTTTAAAGTATTTAGATCTATTCCCATCACATAAAATGTTGCCGTGATGAGCATTGAGCAAGCAGATGACAGTCTGTTGATCGCCAGAATGAAGATCTTATCATTTGCAACACAGTTTCGGCACTCTCTCTAATGCTTTCACCAATGCAAACACGATGATGTAACTTATACAGTATGAGCTTCGTTGTGCAGTGTAACGTGCGTCATTGATTTCATAACGAGTTGTCCAGATAAACTCGCGCTGTGTGGAAAGATTGTTCTTTTATCGCTTTCTGTATAATTTGTTCACAATTTAAATAAGATTATTTTCATCCTACTAAAAGAAACGATGTGAAGTTGATATTTTAGTCACTGGCTTGACTTACTGATGCATAAACAGTATTGAACGATTTTGAGAGAAAGATTACCTGTCTGAACTTGAACAATTAGGCTACACATCAGAAATTGTTGCTTGGTAGATCGATCGATTTATTTTCAGACGTTCATCGAGGCCAGCTCTGTATTGGCCCAAGTTGAGGAAACAGTCGTCGGTGAAATTTTGGACCATACAAAACTTTGGGAAGTTGTGTCGGCGCATTTCCAGAGAAAATAAAATTAACCCATTGTTTCTTCAGAGGCTCGGATGAAGGAACTAAAAAATACTTTTGTGTTCATTTGTACATCTGAACACTGATCAACTGCCATGCTTCGCTCATTTGCAAGCCATGATATCTCTCTAGGAAAAACTCAAATCACGCTCACGCGTTCGTACTTCCTAGCTCATTTTCTCATGGGCGAGCCAAATTCTCTGGGCGGGCAAAGCAGAGAAAGGAGAGGTTACCTTTCCTCCGTATGACGTCATACGGAGAAGATTCAAGATCAGCCCATCTGAGCTTTCATTTTCTCAAAGGCAGAGAAATATAGCCAAAGCTCGGTTTACACCGATTGAAATTTCTAGCCACTGGTGGACCATAGACAGGCTAGGGGAACTCATATTAATGTTAAAAAACCTCACAAAGTGAAAATTTCATGTCAGGGGACCTTTAAACCACAATCATAAAATGTTTACAGGTTGGCAGGTCTGACAAAAGAGCTACAACACCAATGCCTCTGCTTTTGCACATCATATGATCCATTCGAACATTGATCACACTTACAGTTTTCACAGTCGCTGAAGTCTCCAAACACATAGTAGCACTGCTCTGAAAAGGTGATCTTGTTCACTGTGTGTCTGATAAAACCAGCTTTCAGGAGGTTACTAGCATATTTACGAGCCTCTCGTCTGTCCTGGAAGCCCTCAATGTGATGATAAAGCCACTCTACCACATCAGAACCTGTACAAACAGAACGAATGATGACAACGTCAAAGAAAATGTCCTGCATTTGGTCCAAATTGATAATTACTACCTGATTTTTTACTCTAAAAAGCTCTCAAAGGATTCAGCAAACACTACAAAATTTTGTGTCTGGTCATTTTTCTTAAATCCTGTCAATTCAGAAACACAGAGCAAAGTAAAAAATAAAAAATAAAGAAGAATGGGTTTGGACACATTTAAGTTATACGATACATACATATAATATACACACACACACACACACACACACACACACACACACAAATTCCACTTTCTATTTGATTAAGGATGAGCTAAATGACCTAATATTCTCCTTGTCTTCTCATTTTACCTAAAGTCTCATTTCCTCAGGCAACCTTCGAAACATAAATTAATAATAATAATCTTCTCTATACATTCATTGTTTCTTACTTTCATTTGTATTCTTGCTCGTACACCTTTGAACAGTTTTGGAAAATTGTATCATCATAACATAACTTCTCATGTTACTTCCTCCTTAATCTCTTTGTTTTTAGTTCTCATTTGTAAACCACTTTGGATTAAAGTATCTGCTAAATGCATAAATGTATATGTAATTATAAATCTCCCTCTCTTGGTCTTTGGTTAGACTCACCCAGGAATGCATTAGGGATGGTGATCTTTAGCCACATCCTATCTCTGACTTCCAGGCCAGAGTCAGGAGAGGACATGGCTTTAGCAATTGACGTCATATCAGAATGCAGGGAGAGCGAAAACTCATCAAACCCTACAGGAAAAGATAAAGATTGTAAAGGCTGAGAAGTGATGCCACATCCTTCCAGATTCTGACTGTAATAGGAGAAAACATGGTGAAAACATGAGATTTAAAAGGGATATGAAAACTAATTAGATCTTTTAAAAACTTCCTCTGCATTCCACAAAGACCATTTATTAAAACTAAGCAGCAAAAACAACTAATTCTGAAATCTGTGCTTTTCATGATGTTAAAATGAGATTTGTTGGTGGGTCGCCGGTGGATGAGATAAATCATTATAATGTATTGATTGTTAGGTAACACTTTACTTGAAGGGGTGTGCATAAGACTGACATGACACCTTCATAACCATGACATGACATATGTCATGAATATGAAGTAGGGTTTATGCATGTTTATGACAACTGTCATTAAGTGTCTTTCGCTCAATAATGACATTTTGAATGCAAATATGACATTGTTTAAGATGTCTTTGTTATGACATCTTGACATAAACCATAACATCATAACCTGTCAGTGTATTTGTCATGACAACTTGACATTAAATTAAATTAAACTGTCATGTGGTTGGTTTTGACACTGGCTGTCATGAGGCCATTATAACTGTGTCATGAATATTTTTCGTGACCTCAACTACAGTGGTACAAATTGAATTTGTCATTAAACGGTTATAATGGCCTCATGACAGCCAATGTCAAAACCAACCACCTGACAGTTTAATGTAATGTTAACCAATAAAGCTAAGTGGTTTCTTAAGTTTGATAATTAATCTGCTAGGTCATGTTTATGACCGGTTGTGTTGTCTTAGTAATGTCAAGTTGTCATGACAACGACACTGACAGGTTATGATCTATTTGTTTATATCAAGGTGTCATAACAAAGACATCTCAAACAATGTCATATTTGCATTAAAAATGTCATAACTGAGCGAATGACACTTATATGAATGAATGAGGCATTTATATAGCACTTTCATATTTACTACTGTACACCCAAAGCGCTTTACAATCATATCAGGGGTTCTCTCCTCAGCCAGCACCAGTGTGCAGCATCCACTTGGATGATGCGACGGCAGCCACAGTACAACGGCGCCAGTGCGCTCACCACACACCAGCTAGTTGGAGAGGAGAGAGAGTGATAGAGCCAATTCAGTGGATGGGGATTATTAGGAGGCCATGATTGGCAGGGGCCAATGGGTGGAATGTGGCCAGGACACCGGGGTTACACCCCTACTCTTTACGAGAAGTGCCATGGGATTTTTAATGACCACAGAGAGTCAGGGCCTCGGTTTAACGTCTCATCCGAAGGACGGTCCTCTTTGACAGTATAGTGTCCCCGTCACTATACTGGGGCGTTAGGACCCACACAGACCACAGGGTGAGCGCCCCCTGCTGGCCTCACTAACACCTCTTCCAGCAGCAACCTGGTTTTCTCAGAAGGTCTCCCATCCAGGTACTAACCAGGCTCAGCCCTGCTTAGCTTCAGTGGGCAACCAGTCTTGGGCTACAGGGTGATATGGCTGCTGGCACAAGACACCTTCATAATCATGACAGTTGTCATAAACATGCATACAACTTCCTTCATATTCATAACATGTGTCATGTCCTGATTATGAAGGTGTCATGTTAGTCTTATGCACACCCCTTCAAGTAAAGTGTTACCGATTGTTAAAAAGACACAGAATTTTAATTTTACAGTAAAAAGCAATGAATGTGTCACACTTTTAATTTTGTTTTCAACAACAGCGTATTTCTCTTCAGAAAAAAACAAACAATCAAGGATATTGCCTAGAGCACCTCCTAGACGTCATTATATAAAATGATGACGTCTTATTATTATACAAAGGGGGAAAAAACCTAGACAATATTTTGCTTAATAACTTTAACTAAACAGCTTTAACTAAAAATCTCTGATAATTTCTGATAATTGTGTTTTCCAACATAATAATGGAATATTAACGTGATTGAATTTGAAGCTTAACTTCATCAGGCACTTATTTGCAGACTCTAAGTTGCGAGGTCCACTTATTTAAGCAGCAATGGAGGCAAAACAGTTCAGAGAGGAATTTCAAAAAGTAGATTTAAAGACAAAACAATAGAAAGGATAGAAAAGTACATTGTGGGAGCGTTTTAGTGAATTAGTGGTAACACTTTACAATAAGGTTCATTAGTTAATGTATTAACTAACATGAACAAACCATGAGCAATACATTTGTTACTGTATTTGTTAATGTTAGTTAATAAAAATAAAGCTGTTTATTGTTTGTTCATGTTAGTTCACAGTGCATTAACTAATGTTAACAAGATTTTAATAAAGTATTAGTAAATCTTGAAATTAACATTTAACAAATATTAATAAATGCTGTATAAGTGCAGTTTATTATTAGTTCATGCTAACTAATGTGTTTACTAATGAAACTTATTGTAAAGTGTTACCGAAGTAGTTACCAGGATGAATCAAGTGCTGGGTATGTGATATCTAACGGCTGTGAAGCACTGTATGTATAGGACAAACTAATAACAGCCTATATCCAGCCTTTGCTTGGGATAAACATGTTTAATTTATTGTGTGTGTGTCCGGGAAGTTGCAGTGACGAAACAGTGACATTCCAATTTAAGTTTGAAGGGAGTAAAGCCTGTGTTTAGGCTATTAAACAAATGCAATTTTGCCAAAGATCTTTTACTTTAAATAAATGTTTAAAAGCTACCTACTTCAGGGTAATATGATACCATATCACCATTAACACTGAGAATTAGGACATCTGTAATGTGACGAGTAATGTGATCGGTTGCAGATATCTAAATCAGAGAAAAACAGAGGTTCGGGTGGGTGGCGGGTGGATGATTTATTTTTAACAGTGGATTCGGTTAGAGCTGATCTGCGCATCTCTAGCTATGTAAAGACACAGTAAACCCGCAGCCCAGGAATTAGCGCAGCAAATTGCGGTTGCTCATATTACAGGCGATGAGGTGTTTTCATACATGTCTTAAAGGCACAACAGCAAAAACAGCCCATTTACTTTAATAATTTAATTAAAAGGTCACAACAAGGGTGGAAAAACTCTAGTGCATGAGAAACTGTTGTACCGATCAGATTAAAATAAGTTAGAGAGAAAAGTAATGCACCATGGTACAACTGTGCTACACACGCTATCAAGCTATAGCTGGTGTGTGGTGAGCGCACTGGCGCCGTTGTACTGTGGCTGCCGTCACATCATCCAAGTGGATGCTGCACACTGGTGGTGGTTGAGGAGAGAACCCCTGATATGATTGTAAAGCGCTTTGGGTGTACAGTAGTACATATGAAAGCGCTATATAAATGGCTCATTCATTCATTCAATCAAGAGAGAAACTAGTAATCACCAGCGTAAATGGAAACAAACTCATTTAGATGTCTTTAGAATCGCGTGAAAAGACAGCACTTCCGTTATAAAAAGGCTCTAAAAGCATCCAGGTCCGAGCATCTCCGTAAACTAATAGAAAATAACCAAAATAATTTGTATTTTTATTTAGTACAGTGGCTAGATTATCAAATAAACAGACATCACCTGAACAAATTATCCCATTACAGTTTAGTAATGAATTTCTTCACTGAGAAAATCGAGAGCATCAGAAATATGTTCTACCTTTGACAGCGTCTTATGATTCAGCCTCAATTATTGCCCCTCAAGAACAATTGCAGTAGGCCTACTTTACAACTATAGGACAGGAAGAGCTAAATAAACTAATCATTGCATCTAAACCAACAACATGTTTATCAGATCCAATACCCACTAAATTACTGAAAAAGTTGTTACCTGTAGCAGAAGAGCCTCTTCTAAATTTTATTAACTCGTCTTTATCTCTAGGTCATGTTCCAAGATCGTTCAAGGCAAGCTGGCAGTTATTAAGCCTCTCATAAAGAAATCACAATTAGTTCCAAATGAATTAGCAAATTAGACCCATTTCAAATATTCTATTTATGTCTAAAATACTAGCAAAAGTCTTGTCTGCTCAGTTGTTGCAAAATAATATGTATGAAATTAGATGAATTCAGGCCCCGTCACAACACAGATAGCAAAGCGCTCATTAAAATGACAAATTTTGTAAAAAAGTGCTGCGTTCGACACTATATTACACTGATATTCAGTGACAGGGATTAAGGTGGTTTAGATCGTACCTATCAGACTGTTTCCATTTTGTCTATTTAAACGGGGAAAAATCTAAGATAATGTCAGTAAATTATGGAGTGTGCAAGGATCTGTGTTAGACCCTCTGCTATTTTCAATATATATGCTGCCACTGTCACATTCACCTCCTTCATCTGTGTCTTCACTCAGCATTCCCGGTCGTCATCATCACCTGCACCTGCGCCTCATCATCCTCATCATGATCACCATCACCTGTGTCCCATCACCAGCATGGACTATAAAACACTCACTCTCCCTGCAGTCACTGTCTGGTCTCGTCATTTCATGGCTCACAGACTTCCTGATCACCTACCTGTTCCTTACCTGCTTTCCACCGTCAAGTCACCTGCAAGAGAGAGAAAGAGAGAGAAGGACATTAACCACAGCTAAGCTTCCTTTATGTTTCTATGTCATTGGTTTCTCACCTGTTATCTCCGACTACGATCCTTCTGCACAAATAAAGCAGTAAAACTTACCATCTTGTTTGATTCGTCTGTGATCCCTGACAGAAGACCAGACCTAAAAAAGTGACAGAACGACCGACATCAACAATATGAGCTGGGAGCTCGCTGGAGAGATTGCGGCGTTGGCTCTGGATAGCCGCGATCTCTTCACCTTCTCCTCTGGGTTTGTTCCTCTGGCTGCCTCCAGCCCTCTAAACGATGAGACCATCATGGCGTGCTATCGGCTGGGGGTTGAAACCGTGGACCCGAGGGAACTCCCAGACATCTCCGGCCTGGATTGGAGAGAGGCACTCTCCCTATGTCTGGAGAGCTTCCTCCCATGGTATGCCATGACCACCTGCCCAGACCCTTCACTGCTCGTCCAGCCCGAGACCGTCCAG